CTTGCCATTGAAGTCATATCAGTCAAGTGCACCAGTTCGTGAAATGCTTGCGGAGTGCCTGCTACAAGTTTTTCGTTGCTTCGAAGTAGCGTTGGCCTTGACCTCCATACTAGGAAGGCGAAATTTCTCTGTTGCGATAGTAGATTCCCGACAAGGACATCTTGTTCATAGCAGTTCATTTTCCGAATTAGAGATGTAATCGAGAGTGCTCACACAACAGAGTTACAGCTGTTGTTGAGAATAAGATTAACCTAACTTTTTACTCGATTAACTTATCCAAATCGGATGACTTATCTGTCTAAATGACCTGGCTGCAAGAGGCCCTATATATCAGATTTTAGGTTCCTTTTTTGTTTTGTTCTTTGTTTTTGTTCTTTTTCCAAAAAAGGAGGATAAGGTGCTCATTGTCCAACAATTTCGAGTAACGGCATGCCTCCCTTCTTTGACGTGCGTATTTTTACAAGCTCAGGTTCAAATTCAGAAATATTTTTCCCAAAGATTGGACAAGGGAGGATAAAGTTTTTAGAATCAGCAATACTCTCTTTATCTTGTAAATGGGCTGGATTATTTCCAGTTACCTTTTTCCGGATAATTTTGCCCAAACACTAAAACTTCTTCAAACAGCTAGCTATCGTTATTTCCAACTTGTTTGGCTAGTCACTTGCAAAATTTGATTAACTTCCTTTGAAATTGATTTTTTGCATGAGAATCATAAATGAGGAACAATATTGGGATTGCTCTTATTTCTGATGTTTTGCAATCTGGGGGTTGCTATAAATGACAGGGACCTCTTAGATTATGTCTCAATTGCGGGAAAAAGCAAAGTGCATCAAAATTGTGTGATGGACGAACGGAACTCAAAGATGAGACTCCCCAAGAAAAAAAAATTGTTCGACGGGTTGTATTTTTTTCCAAATCTCTGGTCATAATCATTGATCTTCAAATGTGACATGCTCTACTATTTGTCTTGGAACGTTTCAGGTACTTTTTGCAACTGCGCAGTTTGTTTTTCAGAAACTAATTTGCACAATGCACAGATGATTCATTAATTTATTGTAAAGCTCGACTCCATTGCAGGAGGAACATGACAATGCTGAGAAAATTAATATCCTGGTGCAGTACGAGGAGTTGGGCAGTGATCGCAACTTCCTCTTTGTCCGTTGGCTCCGTCTTCTCCCCTGGATCCGGGAGCACCTGGCTTTCCGGGATCTCCGCCTTTGCCATTGTCTCCAACTGGTCCCATCGGACCAGGATTTCCTGCAGTTCCTGGGGTACCAGGGTTTCCATCGGTACCGGGAGGACCTTGCGGTCCAGGTGGTCCTGGAGGTCCAGGGATTCCAGGCATTGGCATCCGAATGCCGGGTGCACCGGGAGCGCCTGGACTTCCGGGTGCTCCAGCATTTCCAGGTGGACCTTGTGGTCCAGGAGCACCTTGTCCTCCTGGGTTTCCTGGTCTTCCAGGCTGTCCAGCTGATCCAGGGTTTCCTGGGGCACCACGACCTCCTGCGTTT